CCTTTACCCACATTCAGATTCTGACCATCATTTCCATGTAGTCAGAGGTAAAGTTGATTACTTAATCATACTCTCAGGGAGCAAATACCCCTTCAACCTTTTGGGGTCAAGGAATGGCAGAAATGGAATCAGTGCCACCCAAAAGACATATGACTTTTCCCACCAAAAGGGCTGATGGCAGAGTTTAGTTTTATTGCCACATAAATCATGCTTTGTTCTTTTTTTTATCTCCTAACTTCTTCCATACATACTAATTAATTAATTGAGCATACCTGTCTAAATCATCCAATCTTGATTCATATGACGGTATGCCTGTGAGGGTTCTAGAAGTTAGAAGTGATTTAGTATTAGAGGGTTTGATTACACTGAATATAAAATCAAATAAAATGAGAAAATGATGGATAGAAGAGAGGAATGAGGTTTGAAATTAACCTTATTTCCTGTACATATAAGAGGCCCACTTAGGTTGGTTTTTATCTTGGCCTATTTTGGGAGGGATGTATTTGGCTCGCAACCAAGAATAGAAAATAAACAAGGACCTGTATCTGCTAAACCAACCTCAGCACTGTTGACATTGTAAGCTGGGTCGTTCTTTGCTGTGGGGGCTCTCCTGCACATTCTAGGGTGTTTAGCTATGTCCCTGACCTCTACCCACTAGATGCCAGTGGTACCTCTTAAGTGTGACAAGCAGAAATGTGTGAAGATATTGCCAGTTGTCCCAAGGGACAGAGAATGCACCCAGATGGGACCCACTGCTCCAGACACAAGAACTGTTAAATAGAAAGGGACCGACTCTCTAGGTCAAACCACTTTTATTGTTAATGAGAACTCTTACCCAGCAGTTACTTGATTTCTTTCCTGCATTTTCCTCACACACATTCCTTCTCACAGAGTCAGGAAAGCTTAGTGGTGAGAGCAGATCTGGGTGCCAGTCTCAGTTCTGTGGGAGACCAGAGCACAGCAGTGACAAGCTCAGGAACCTGCCCTTGTTTTCTCCAGTTGTGTTAGTGGGTAGTGTAATCCTCAGAGCTGATGGCAAGGATGCAATGAGAGACTGCTTGTGAAATGTAGTTGGCACAGGGTAGCTGCTCAGGAAATGTGAGCTCTGTTCATGAGTTGCTGTGCTGGGGCAGTTGTGGATCTCATACCTGATGCACATTGTCCCACATCCCAGTGCAATTTAGACCCACCCCAAAGACCTCAAACCTGACTTCCACAAAGGACACTTTCAGGTGGAAGACAAGTCCCCTTCCTTCTGAATGAAGACACGGAACCTCCTTTTAAGAACTGAAGTCCTGCTCCTTTCCTTCAGACCATTGCATGTGGGCTGCTGGAACACAGCACCTTTTCTCCTTCCCTGCCCTTACCAAGCCCTTCAGCCCCTTGGCTGCTGCAGTGAGAAACAGGGAAACTGATAGCAAGTCCAGATCTGTTCCTGATCCCTCTGCGGGCTGCCTTGCCTCCAGGCAGCCCCTTGCTGCCCTTGAAGTGTTTCACCCTCTCCTAATTGGAACTGTCTCTGAACTCTGTACTACTCTGGGGGAGAGTGAAAGCCAAAATGGTAACCGTGACCTCTGCAGGCAGGCAGAGAGTGCAAAGCCTTGACCTCTGAGCGTTCTTTGTCATCTGAGCCCATTTTATCATCCCAGCAACCCAATGAGGTAGGGAGTCTGCTTGCTATTTTAAAGGTGAAGAAATTGTGGTTTGGAGAAATTCATGTTTTCAGCATCACACAGCTGGTATGTGGTGAGCCTGGGATGTGAACTGAGATCCGTCACAGCCCATGCTCCTAAAGCTTCCCTACTCATGCCAGATTCTAGGCAGAAATGATGATTGATTCCAAGAATGCAAAATTAGTTCCTGAATTCAACAAACACACACACAAAGATTTTTCTCTAACAGCATTCTTTCTTAATTTCACAAAGATTTATTAAGCACTTTCTGTATACATGACACTCTATATTGCATTAGGAAGGCACAATAATTCATTGAAACCACCTTCAAAAAGTTGAAGAGGGGGGCTGGAGTTGTGGCTCAGTGGTAGAGTGCTTGCCTAGCCTGTGTGAGGTACTGGGTTTAATTCTCAGCACCACATATAAATAAATAAAGGTCCATCAAAAACTAATCAAAATATATTTTTTTAAAAGTTGAAGAGGTAGGCTAGGGTTATGACCCTGGTTTCAATCTCTAGCCCCTCAAAAAAAAAAGAAGTGTAAGGGGAGTGTTGGATACATTAAAATAAAGTATATGGTAATAAGTTTAAGAAATCTTACTAGCTCACGAAGAGAGTAGCTAGCTGTATCTAGAGGGAGAGAAGATTTCATAGTGAACTTTGAGGGGACCTGGAAAGATGGAGAGGTTGGGATTCACTGTTGTCAGAGGGTAAACCCACAAGCTGTCTTAAAGGGAAGGAAAGTTTGAGCAAAGGCCAGGAGCAACCCAGTGTATACAGGGAGCTGGAAGGAGTCTAAGGTGGCTGAAGCATACAGGGATGGAACCCAACACATGTCTCATGTTAAGGATGTAAATGGGACCCTCTTGTTTTCACATAGAGCCCATGCATCACCATGACCCACTCCAAACAGAGTGCTGGCAGCAGAAACATCCAAGAGCAATGGAGAATCACTAAGTGTCCCGGAAAGATGGCAAAGGGGATTGTGCCATAGCAAGACTCTTCCTCAAAACAGCATTTCTAAAAAGAGCTGGAGGTTGGGCATGGTGGCACACACCTTTAATCCCAGCATCTTGGCAGGCTAAGGCAGGAGGATCTCAAGTTTAAAGCCAGCCTTAGAAATTCAGTGAGGCCCTAAGCAACTTAGCAAGACTCTGTCCCAAAACAAAACAAAAAAAAAAAAGAAAAAAAAATTTAAAAAGGGCTGGGAATATAGCTCAGTGATAATGCTCTTGCCTGGCATGCAAGAAGTCCTGGGTTTAATCCCCAGTACCAAAAAAAAAAAAAAAAAAAACAACAAACAAACAAAAACACCATGGTTATTTGGATGATAAACCTAGTTATCAATTGCTGGCAAGGATCTGAAGTATAGTGATCCCGTAGGGCTGCCTCTTTATTATCATTCTCTTCATAATGCTTATTTCAGTTCATAGTCATTTTTAGTGTCATCCATTTTCCAGATCTGACTTTAGCAAAAGTCTCAAGAATAATGTCCTGTATTGGTTTCCTAGAAAATCTCTGCTGTCCTTCCAAGCTGTGCTGCTCCCTTGTGAGTTGACCTGGACCAAAGAGTTTTACTCCCATTGGTCTCTGCCTCCCCTTCAATAATACTAGAATATTATCTCTTAGAATAACTGTAAAGTATTTATTTTCTAGACAGTATTAGAGAATGAAAATAATCATGATGCTTCATTCAGTCAATACACATGGGTCAAGTCTACAGTGTTGTGAGCCTAATTTGGGGGGCTATTTTGCAAAATAACATGATAATAGTAAAACTCCTAGCAGCTGCACCATTTTCACTCACAGTTCTTCTCATGCAGGTGTGTCAGTATATACTGTAGCTTATCATAACTGTTTATCAAGTTGCTCCATAATCATCGTAATTAGTGTTACTTTAATGACCACGTAATCATCCATCTTTTTTTTTTTTTTTTTGGTACTGAGGGCACTCAACCACTGAACCACATCCCCAGTCCTTTTTTGTATTTTATTTAGAGATAGGGTCTCACTGAGTGATTTAGGGCCTCAATAACTTGCTGAGACAGGCTTTGAACTTGAAATCCTCCTGTCTCAGCCTCCCTAGCCGCTGGGATTACAGGCGTATGCCACTGTGCCCAGCTCATCTATCTTATTAAGTTATCATTATTTACTTAACCTAAATTTTCAACAATAGGAATCTGGTTGTTCCAATTTTTACTCTACTATAAATAACTTCTAGGTTACATATATGTAAATATATCATTTTTCATAAAATTATTTCCTTTGGGGTCACCGGATTAAGAAATATAATTTTTTAATATTTTTAAATAAATTGACATTATTTTTTTAGTGTACAATGCCATCAGCATTATATTAGTATTCCACTTACATTACAACCTTATCGGAAGTGTGTAGTTTTATTTGATATTTAATACATTTATTTGTACCTCTTAATTTTGCATTTTCTCAGAAGTAGCAAGTTTTTATATATATTCTCTCTTTTGAAGAACCAGTTTGATTTGAAACTTAGTAGTTTTTTTTTTCTTTTACATCAACAACTCTTAGTGTCCTTCTCTCTCATTGCCCAATAGTTTTGTGTACTAAATGAGACTATATTAATATTTTTCTGAGCAAAATAGTTGTATTCGTATAATAATGAATTATATGAGATCTGAGCATAGGGAACTATAGGAAGTACCCAGATAAAAATAATAGGAAAATTAAAGATTTTAAATCAGGAAAATATATTTGTACCAGCATTCCCAAGACCAAACATGAGCAGAGTTGCAATTCAAATAGTTCAATCTCTTGTCAGTTTTAATGACTTTCTCTTCCTAGTCCCTAACCTGCTCAACCAGTCTGACTTTTTAACAAACAAACTCAAGTTCCAGCCATACTACTTCCAATATATCCTTATAGGCTTCATCCCAGACCATTTTCCCGATGCATGAAACCATCCCTCCACCCCACCCCCCCGAAAAGCCTCATACCCTTCCCAAGTCTGATCTTCCCCCAGGTCAAGTACATGCATGAACCCCACAAATGTGAAATGGTTTCCCAACCCACGTCCCCGTCACAGAGCTGGATGCCAATTTCCTTCCTTCCAGGCAGCTTGGCCCGCCTCTGAGATGGGTGTCTTCCATGCCCTGCCAAATGGTGAAAGGACATTCCATAAACACAAGCCACCACAAATCCACCCTTCAGTTGAGTAACCACCATCCTGGCTAGAGCTTTCTCTTTGACCTAAGGGTGTTAGGGTTTGTTTGAATAAGATAATTGCTACATGTCAGTATCTGGGAGCAGAAAGGAAGTAACTCACCACATTTCCTCCTTTTTCTTCTTGCAGCCTCAGCCGAGGGTTCTCCATAAACATGGTTAGCCTTCCAAGCTGCTGTCCTGCCAGTTGGTATGAACATGGCCTGCCTGCTCCCCACAGAAAGACTAACTCATGGCCCTGCCGGAAGAGATCCTTGGAGCATTGACAGATAAACCGGATTAAATGAAAAAACACCCACTCAGTCAAGATTATAAGCTTTGGGAAAAAAAAAATCTTAGTTTGCTGTGGATTTTTAAATGAGGTGCATAATTATACAGTGCCAATTTGTTCCAAGTGGTCATTGGCAGACCCTTCACTGGAAGATGGCTTCCAGTTTTCATCACTGTGCATAACTCAAGTTCCCTTTGGGGCACTGTCTGTGCCCATCACTACCAGTCCTGTTTTAGCATGGCAACTACTGGATTATTTTATTATGTGTGCAGATGGCATGATGTTTTAGAAAAAAAATTACAGCAGTTCTGCAGTCTCGGTGGAAGTGTTCACAATATTATGCCCTGATAGGAATGTAAACGTGTCTTGGTTATGTTAGTTATGATGTCCAAAGGTATTCTGTCCAACTCTGAAGCACTTTATAAAAGAACACTACGCTGAGATGAATTAGCACGTTTGGTACATGTAGGAATACAAGTATTTTGTTTTTTCTTTTATAAATCTTGTCTTATTTCTGGCTCAGACTGTCCAAGATAAGCTCTACTACTAGCATATTCCCCAGTCGTTTGTGGTAGGTTGGTGTAAATATGGCCACAATACTGTTAGACCTAACCTCTTGACACTTTACTGAATAACCGGGTTACTTGTAACACCAAAGGGAAGTAGGAGCTTGCCTGGGGGATTGGAACACTGAAGCTGTTGGTTCCTTATACCAAGGCACAACTTAACACATGTACATACAAATACTCAAGTACAGGAGGCTTCTCTTTGGCCAATGTACATATTTTCTCATTCTATAGAGAAGGAGGATGGCCTTCTTTTTAATTAAAGACCATAGATGCCAAGGGCAGCAAAATGCAATTTTCCTGTGTGAGATCCCACTTAAACAGTGGAAAAAATTCTAAGTCAAGTTCAATCACAATTCTCTGAAGAGAAACAGTATCAAGTGACCCCTTTGTGCCTAAAGAAGGAAAGGTTCAGTCCCACACTAGGTTCCTTACTCAGCATAGAACCTTCTACTCCCTTTTAATCCTTTCTGGGATTTTATTCATGACTAATTTTTTTTTCACTCTCTAATAACAAAGCACAGTCTTAGGAACTGTCTACTCAGTGACTTGTAGCTTGTCTTTGATACTGACTGGACCTATATTTTATTTTAGCTCATTTTTCCCTGGATACAAAGTTGGCTGAATGAAAACCTCAGCAGAGTATGTTCTGTGTGCCTACTACCCCCGCCTGAGGCCGAAAGGCATCAGAGATTTCTCTTTAAAATAGATGTGACAGCATCTGGACCCCTTCCAGCACAAGTGAGCAGGGCATTTTGGGGTTCCTTGAGTCCTCACTGTCTCCACTTGGGGTTCATGAAAGGGAGAGAGATCCAGATGTGATTTGGACCACAAGCCTGTCAGACTGTAAAGCCACAGAAGGGGTGTCCAAGAGGGAACTCAGAGAAGTTCCAGTCACCACTGAGATCTGACCCTCTGACGTGTCAATATCAGGACCACAGGGCCCACAGCAAACCATAAGACTCTACAAATTCAGAATTAGGAGGTCAAATTCTGACTGTCAGTGCCTCAGGATATAACATCCCTATCTCCATTGCCCGTCTCTTGAGGCCTAGTTCCAACAGAAAGACTTCTCTGTCCTTCCAGTCCTCTCTTAATTCAGCCAGCATTTGAGTATCTACCATGAGCCAATCTTTGAGCTGGGACCACTGCAGCGTACCAGGCAGACTCTCCTGCCCTTCTAAAACTGTACCTCCTCTTCCCAAACACTGTCCCTTCCCCACTCTTCCACAATGAAAACTGATTTCAGACAGCATTCACTCTCTGCCAGATTAACCCAGGAAGATGCACACGGCAGCAGGCAGGTCCCTTGCCTGAAGGAGTGGACAGCACCATAGCACATTATATGTACCCTTCCTGTACAGCCAGCCCTTCCAGATTGAGCTGGTTAGAGCTTCCCAGAGCAGCTTTCAGGTTACTCTCCTTGAAATCCACCCTGGTCACCTGTTTCCCCATCCTTCCTTTATATAGACACAGCCATTGATCACTATGCTGGAATCTCTAAAGCTCCAATTCTATAATGAGTCCTGAGGACAATGAATTGGATGTGATGAATCCTAAAGAACTACTGCCAGGTGCTGAGATATTGTAGCTGGGAATGAACTGGTCCAGCCAGGGACATCCTGGGACTACACTACTACACTCTTGGAAAATTGGACATGCTTTATGGTGCAGATATTCACTAAGTGGTGGGGTGCATTGATACTTTGGCTTTAAAAGTCTGAACATATTAAATAAATAGAGTTTCCTAGCTTACATTTTTTTTTTTTTTGAGTCAAAAGAGTGCTAGATAATTACTGAAAAGACAATGGGGAAAGGTGGAGATGGGAGAAGACAAATGTAAAAATGACCATCAAAGAACTCAGTTGAAGATGGTGTCTAAAAATACCTTTATGCCTGGCATACACCACTTACTTGCGTATGACTACTCCTGTTTTCCAAACTGCCCACCTCTGTTTGAAATTATTTGGGGGCATAGCTTTGGAGACGTGGTGGAATAAAATCTGAGCAGTCACAAGCTAAACCAGCAAAATGGAGAAGTGACTTTGTTCATAGCCTCTGGCTTCCATGGTGATCCTCTGAGATTTCCCATGCTGCTTCCTGCTGACCTATACCTTTTTCCCAAGGGGAATGTGTGTGTGTGTGTGCGCGCGCACACGTGCGTGCACGCACGCTTGTGCAGAATTTTACCTCCCAGAAATTCAGAAATGGCTGTGCAGTGAGTTTTGTTTAGTAAGAAGCAAGAGATGGGGAGCTAAGGGATAAATATTTTGATGTGTAAGGGCTGTAAACTGTTGATGCTTAACTTTTACTTAAACCTGTGCTACACCTTTTATTAAAAGGCTCACACCCACACTTGTGCAGGGAAGGCAGTCTTGGGAATGAACAGAAATGAATAATTATCAGACTCTCCAGGGTGCCAAGGGGATTAGCTTGTCCCAGCTCCAGAACTGAATTTAAATATGCAGAGCATTGGTGGTTCTGCTCCAGTAAAAGCAGATCACTTCAGTAGCTTGAGACATGCCTGGGGATAAGGGACATATCAGCTCTCCTTATGGGGAATGGCCTTCCTTCCAGTCGTTGCGCAGGCTCTGCGAGGTGTGTCCCCACAGATTTGACTTCGACTTCCAGAAAGTAAAGACATAGATGAATTCCTTTATCCCCTAAAGAGTTCCCCACCCAGAGTCACTTTGCAGTTGCCCAAATAGAGAGGCTTATGGTCCTTAGTTCTGAGGGAAATGCACCATTTTTATTTCTTCCAGGTAAAAAGAGAGATCAACCTTCCAAGAGAATATAAACTAAGGATAAAAACTTCTAAAGCCCCCACCCTTTCTATTTGCAAATGCTTTCTTTGCCTGCAAATGTCACATAACTGATTTGGGGTGGTAACAATAAAAGTCTCAGGGAAGCTAAAGTTTCCGGACCCCCTGAGCACTTTCGTTTTACTCAGCCCTCCTCTTCTAGAGCATTTGCAGCCTCCATCTTTGAGATGTTTTCCTCCTCATTCTTTAGAGTAATTTTGCTACTTGACAACTAGACTTAAAGCTGCCATAGACCCTTAAAAATCTAATCTTTGAAAGTGACAGAAATTCCTTTATTCCCCAAAGGCTGTTTCTATTCACCTCTCCCTTGGCTTTGTTTCCTATGCGTGTGTGATTTTCTTTTTTTCCTTTTCATCTCTTTCTTTTAACATAGTGCTGTGGGTAGATTTCAAGCATTCTCTAAAGAACTTGAATAGAAAAACAGAGTCCTCACCTTTTTTTTTTTTTTTTGCCCAGTCCTGACTAATAATTCCTTCTTAAGCTTGACCTTGGTGACTGCTATCTGCCCAAACAGCAGTGGAATTCTCATCTCTAAGAGGGGACTGGTCAGCCCTGATCATCAAAACTAAATCGAGGGATCAGGGAGGGGACAGGCCAGGAGATGTTCCTACTGGGGCACAGCTGGAGACTCTATTTCAAAGACAGGCAGGGTTTGCCCCTCCTCTCCTTAAATCCGCATCTAATCCTGGAGCCCGAGAACTGTCCTGTGGATTCCCCTGGCAGCTTCAAGGTAAAAGAGGGCTATATTTCCATTATTTTTGCTCCAGTGACTTTCAATATTCAGGAGACAGGGTACATTAATTTGAAAGCTGTGCTGGTCAAGAGCACAGGCGGGTTCTGCCACACCTTAATAAAAAGAACAACAACATAGATGCTTCTCATCCGAGAAGGTGGCTGAAGGGACAGTGTCAATACTGGTGTCTTCTGCCCATTCCTTCGTTCCACAGGTGAAATCCTGGGCAGGGGAGTAGGAGCAGACAGTCATTGTTTCTAAAAATTTTAGGGTAAAATTTATCAGCAACCAATGCAAAAGGAAAGAGTCATCAGGCATGAGCCCGTTCTAGTCCTCTCACCCAGCGGCAAAATGACTAAGAGATGGCTTCCAAGGAACAAGTGTAAAAGGTTTTGCAAAACTGAAGTTTCATTTGCCACATAAGGCTATTTAAAAATCTTGAAGCACCCCAAGCATTCCGAGATCAGAGCCTCCCTCTCCTAATTACATCCAGCATGAAAAGGCACAAACAGCCTACTCTTAAATTATAATCCGTCACCCTATGTCTTGTGTTGGACTGCAGTTGGGTGGGTGACATCACAAAGTGTTGTTGCTATTAGACATTGTTCATAATCACACAAAATCTGCATATTGTGATGCCAATAGTTTGGGAGTTTCACTTTGTTGTTGTTTATTTCGTGATTGCTTCCCAACCCTCAGACATACCCAGGAGACTTAGAAAGACTCTGAAACCCAGGCCTTCTGCCTAACATGCAGTATCAGAAACAGCCCTACCTACTGTGAACTATAAAAAGATTTTTCAATTAAATTAATCTGATCTTGGAGATACTCATACCTAAAATTATTATAACCCTGAAGACATTGCTGTTTGCCTGACACATTTTTCATAGGCTTTTAAAAATTCAGTTGTTTGGGGGCTAGAGATAAAGCTCAGTTGGTAGAGTGCTTTCCTCACATGCAGAAGGCCCTGGGTTCAAGCCCCAGCACCACAAGAAAAAAAAGAAAAAGAAATTTTAGTTGTTTGGATCAAGAAATTAATAGTTGGTTTTGAATAGTTTGGCCACATCAGCATACACATAGCTACCAGATGTAGAATTCCAGGTTGGGTTGATGTGCCAGAGTTCACAGTTCTGTTATGTGGGATTGCACTTAATCACCTCCACCCCTCTCAAATTCTATGAAAATATATTAAAACACTTTATGCTAAAAAAAAAAAAAAAAAAAAAAAAACTAAAACAGTAAACTCTTATTCGATCATTATTTCACTTGGGGTGGGGAAACTCATTTGGAAAATAACTTTGAAGAAAACTTTGCTTGCTATTAAGTGCCTCCAACCACAGAGCTTGCTCCTGTCCCACAAACTGAGAATTCTCTTCTGCCATCTGCTCAGAGCTTAGCCCATCCTCTAAAATAGCACAGATGCCACAGAAACACCTTTTAAGCTCAAACACAATTGCAAAAATAAGATTTAGAATTTTAACACTGCCACGGTCCTTGATTCTAGGATCCCTGAATCAGTTCTAGTTCTTTTGTATCTATTTTCAGTGTTTTTTAAAACCACAATTGACTACATTTTGTCTGCATTGGGAGCTGCTTATGAATCCAAGCTGGCAGCTTTTGGCAATTCCTGTGTCTAGATTCTAGATAATGCATGTTTCCCCACATACCAGCTAAGGGGTTTTCATGGGCACATTGAAGAGGCCCCTAGATACAGGTAGATACTGAGGGAAATGTGAGACAGGGAGGTTGTCCATGTTTCAGCCATGTTTTAGTGCTGGTACTTTTGTCTTTCTCATTTTCTCTCTCTCTCTCTCTTCTTTCCCCCCCGCCCTTGGAATAGAACCTAGGGTCCTGCACAAGCTAGGCAAGTTAGGCAAGTGCTCTCTACCACTGAGCTACAGCCTTAGCCCTTCCTTTTCCTTCTTATCCCTCGCCCACCTCTGATAACCAGCAAGCAGAAGCTATAACCTCTGCAGTAGGTGTTGGTCCCCACTGGGGACAGGAGGGAATTCCATTTGCTTAAACTCACACCAGGCAACCAACCGTAAGGCACTCTCTCTACTCTGTATAGTTTATCCTCCACCAATAGGGAAATACTGTCCTTACAAGGCCATGTTTGAGGAGACTGAGGTTTGGCTAGTAAAAGAGGCTTGCATTGCAAAGAGCTGAAAAATAGCAGACTCTTGACTCTGCACTGTGAGCCTCAGTCATGATTGGGCAGAAGTAACTGATCTCCTAAAAAACCAAGCCAGCAAAAATGTTTAGAAACTAATTCCACTGAAACTCTCATATCACTAAATCACACTACTGTAGTTCCAGTTAATCCAACTATTTAATATCATTAGGCACTAAATTAAATAGCTTTATACAAAATTTTAGAAAAGATCAATATTGTAACAAAATTACATATTAGCAGTAAAAAGCACCTGAGAAAAGAAAATATTGATCTGTTGTGGTTTATATACTTGAGTTATTCTTAGGACTTTGTAGGGATTGGCACTGCTCTGATAAGGGCAATAAAATGGTCCGAATTTGAGAACGCTGGACTAACGGAAATTGCCCAGTCTCCCTGGGCCTCCACTTGTCTGGGATGCTCTGTCCCTGCTCAGCAGACCAGGTTATTTGGAGACTAAATGGAGCTGACGAGAGAAGCTATCCCACTCCACCAATGCATGCAGAATTATCATGGCAAGCTGGATTATGGGCTTTATTTAATGACATCTTTCCTAACATGAGGTTTTTCTCCTCAAAGCTTGTATTTCTGGGATTTAGAAAGGAAAAAGAAAGAATAATGCGAAAGTAACAATCACCATTTTACATACACACATATGCTTTTTCCAGTATTTGGGAGCCAGTCTGTAGAGCCCATTCCAAGGTGTCCCTCCATCTCCACCTCTCCACCTCCCAAAGGCTCAGAGCACCAGGACCCAGGGAGAGTCCCCCATGAGAGTATGAAGTTGACTAGCTGAGGGCCATGGGATGGAGAGACAGACACCAAGCTTCCTCCAGGAGGAGAAACTGCGTATTGTGAATTAGTATTCATTTGAGGAGAGCAAGAGGAAGGAAAAAAAAAACACAATGTGAATTAAATATAAGACCAATGCATTCCTTACAGAATATGAGGAGGGAATCTGACTAAAAAAAAAAAAAAAGAAAACCTGGTTCATTCTTTTCAAACTAACCTGGCTAAAAAGCACATTTCATAACACAGAAGCCTGTGTAGATGGTAGACATTTTTATAGCTTCCTTAAGTGAGCAGTTAAATGAGAAGTCTGAGTTCTGTTGGTCTCCCAAGAGTGGTTAATGAAATAAGCATTTCCCTTATTCATTGCCCGCACTGTAGTGCTTTTCTCTCTCTATGCACCCTAGGAAGACTCCCACACCCAGACTTAGGAGGACACAACCAAGTTATCGGCCAAACAAGAGTGCCTTCTCTGTTGGATGTTCACATTCATTCCCTGGATTCCCAGGGCCTAAGATGTTTAGAATCTTTTTTTCTCTAAACATAAGAATTATTGTGCACCACAATTTTGAACCACTGATTTCTGTATCTTAAGCAGCTATCAACTTGCCAATTCCCTTTGGGTCTTCTTTCTATTTTCTTATAATATTTCCTTCTGTTTTGGGTTTTCCTCAAGAAGAACTGGGGGCATGATTCTTTTTAAATTGATAAAAATGAAACTGTACAGATTTTTGCCCCCTTGTATCCGTGAGCATGATCTCTATCAGGCTTGAAAATCTGCTTTATCATTTTGTATATTTGACTATTTTGTATTCAGCATTACTTGACTCCTTATATGCATGGCAATGTATTAAAATGTGGCATTTCTATTACCGTGTAAAAGTGTTTTGATTCTGATTTTCAACATACATCCTGCAAAAAAAAAAATTACATTAAACTTTTCATTTCTATTTTCTTCAGCTCATCAGCTTTGCAGAAGAAAAAGAAAAGTTAACAGCATTTCACTTTCCCTGTGTTAGCTAATGATGCAATTCATGGTGGAAAATTGTCCTCAATTATGCTGTGTTTCCTGGAGAAATAATATATGTGAAATGAATTGGTGGCCTCCCTCCAGCACACAGAATCCCCAGCACCAGGTCCCACCAGTGTGATGACTCGTACTGTTGATCACTTTAGTGTTGAGTACAGCTGGACAAAAATCACAATGGTATTCATTCCTAGGCATGGGAACACACCTGAGGGAGAGAAGACAGCAGATCTTAGCTTACCAATTCGTTTTCACCCCCAGGAGTCTTAAGTGCTTACAGTTGCCTGATTGGTGGTATTTCCATGCACCTCCCGTTTGCATCTCTCAGGTGATGACCAAATGTAAGCTATCTGTCTTCTACCAAGAAGATACTGACCTTCAAATACCACCTGCCAAGAGAGCTGGGGTTAGAAATTGAGATTCCCAGATGGATTTGGCATTACTGGTAGCTCAGCAAACATCTGCATGCTCTCCACGATCATCCACATATTTTACAGATGCCAAACTTTTTTTCTTCAACTTTTTTTTCTGAATAATAGGATGCATCAAATGTGAACAGCAGACAATTTGACCTGCTCAAAACTCCCATGTCCCACACTCTTTTTCAATGAGACATGATAATGAGCACCTACGGAACCCAGGACTGCACTCAGTTTGATGATTTGCCTGGTGCAGTGAAAGGCACCTTCCCCAGAAAAGAAAGAGCATTTATAAATTCTGTAAGAGAGAGAGAGAGAGAGAGAGAGAGAGATATTACCTTTTTAATTACATGTTTACCATGAATCTAGTGTTTGTTTTGTTTTTGTTTCCAAAAGAGGTTTCCAAAAGCAAAACCTGTGATAACCTGCTAGATGAGCTCACTAACTTGGTGTATAAATCCTCTAAACTCTCCACGGACCTTGTAACTCAATAGCACAAGTTTCTTCCGTTTCCTCCGCATTCAGATTAAGGATGTGGGAAAATGGGGCAGCCTTGTTGGGTAGCCTCTGTAGAAGACTTTGAAACCACAGCATGCAAATGTAACACTGTCTTCATCTTGGCCTCTCTGGGATCATCTCTGTCCATTCCTTCTCTTGTCTCTTTCTCTCTAGTTCTTCCTCTGTCCACATCAGTCCTCCCCCTTTAATTGATTATGCAGTTGTCTTGATAATTTTCTCTGCTGTGCCCTGCTCCCTCCCTCCCCCATCTGTCTCTGTCTCCTCCCTCCCTTCTCTGCCATCTCAGTCTCTCTCTTCCAACCTAGTTCCCCTTCTCCTCCTTTCTTTTAGGGTAGGATGTCCATTTGTATTTGTATCCCCATCTCCTGGCACATCATAGCTGCTCCACAAATGAAAGGTAAGCTGAGTTTAAGTTGGTGCCACACCCTCCCCAGATCAATTTGCTTCTGTCTACTGAGCTTCATTAGACTAAAATCAGCTGTGTTATCTGGATAGATGAAAGCTTTAGGTAACAGATTCTCCCAAAGCCTGAAGCAGGCAGATCCCCCTAAATGCCACTTTACCAATACAAAAAGAAGCCTTTCTGCCGACCCAGGGCTTGGGGGACTCATGCTTTTCTGGATAAACATGGGAGCTATATTTAGATCAAGGGCAGTGATATTTTTTAGTTCAGTGGAGGCCACCAAAATAATTTATTGACCTAAGATTATTCAGAATCTTACAAAATCCTTCCATGAGACTACAGAGCTAGACATTTTGTGCTAGAGAAATCCTAAAAGGCTTCCCGGTTTCCTGTGGATTCATTTTGCCAAGAGGTCTCCCTGATTGAGGAGGTTTCATACAGCGATTATGAAATCATTAGGGCCGTTAATACTTTCTCTTTCTTGTATATCTATTATTAAGGCATATAGACGTGTGTACATCGCAAAATAGCTTTCCATTACCTTTCATGAATAGTGTATAAACACTGAAAAATTAACTTCAGAAGAGCTTTAATAAAAGCAGCCACATGCTTCTGTTGCTGTGAGGGCTGGGGCTCTGTAAGGTGGGAGTGGAGAGTGAGTCTTAGACAGTTGTTTCACAAATGAGGATGTCCCCTATGTCCCCTTTCTCATAATATAGAAACTTGCCAGGGCTCTATTTTGCACTCATCTCTTCTTTTGGTTTCATAACCCAAATATTCTTAGCCCCTACTCCCACCCCTCATGGCCCAGTCTCTGCAGGAATGTCCCAGAGGGGAAAATACCTGTGAAAGCATGGCTAGCTTTGACTTTGTCCTTCATGAAGCTGTCAAGGCAGAATGGGTGGATGTGTGTGCACATAGGTGTTACACAGTAAAGATCTTAAAACATTCTTCTTCCCACCTATGCCACCCCTATTATCCTCTACCCAAAGACAGCTGCATTCTTCCATTTCCATTATTCTCTTTAGAAGAGCCCTTCTAAATCTCATTTCTTTTTCCATATAATTTTCCCATTTTCGTTTCTTGAGTCTGCTTTTTCTCTACTTCTTGCCTTGATTCTGCCTCCCAAAATCATGCAAACCAAACCAGGAAACACTGGATTTTATTTCCATCATTAAAGGGGAAAAAAGATTATAGTAATATAATATTTTCTTGATAATTTTCTTTATTGATTTTTCTAGATTTTTCTAAGTCATTCTTGCCCCAGGACTATGGAATCAATGATCTATAGTGAAGAATAATTTATGAAGTTACCATGGATAGCTCGAATTCTACCTCTGGAACGTAGCCTTATGCAGTATGAAATCTTTTTTGTTTACTCATTTAACAAACATAAATGGGTCATATGCTGTTTGTTGTATGTGCCAGGAACTTGGTATGTGTGGGGCTAGGTGTTGGTGATTCAGAAGTAAATGACATCTTTCCTAACCTTCAAGGTCTTACATTCTAAGATTGAGAAACAAACAGTGTGACAAATAATTTCTTCAAATATCCCTTATTAAAATGTAAGTACCTCTGGTTGGATAATATTCTAAGCCCCATTCATTCTCAGATGCTGGGAGTGTGCAGAGATGCAAGAATGCGCACAGCCAAGCGAACTCACAAACATGATATATGTACTTTCTCTCTTCCAGAGATTCAAGATGCACATTGCCATATTAAAGGCTCTGAGAACTCTTGCAGGAAACAATCCTACATTTTTTTTCAGTGTAGCATTTCCAAAATTCAGTTGAGCATCAGCTACTTTCTACCAGAGAATAGGAGCTAACAGTCCAGGGGCCAAGCATTTTTGGAAATGCAGTTCTTAGTCAATTACTAGTTTGATGGCAATGTTCTCATAATCAGGTGAATCTAAAGCCCCTTAGGAAAAATTGGTGCAAAAGGATGGGCTTCTGGGTGGGAGACAGAGACTTGGGGGCCAGAAAGTGGGCTAAAAACAAACTGGCCAATTTCTATTAATAAAAATAATTACTCATCAGCTGTTATAGGTTCAACCTTTGAAAGTATCACATCTGAGTTTTGTCACCAGCCAGGTATGGGCGAGGAACAAACAGTGGTCTAACCTAGGTCCAGGGTGTCATCCCTCTAGATTTCAGTTTTCTCTTCTGGATTTTTCAGGGTTTAAATAGCTGACCCCATCATGCCTTGCAGCACACACTTGCTGCTCAATTCTTTTTGCTTTGAAAGATATGCAGGCACACATTTAGAAAACCAGAAGCTTCTAGTACTTTGTAATTTACTTTCCTTCTTAAGACTGAAGAATATTTTTTTCTTTATATATTTTTGTCTCACAAGTGTTATGGAGGCAGTTTTTCTAAAGAAAACAAGAACTTGGACCACAATCTGAGCAATCCTGCAAGCCCATAGGCCCACAGTTGGTAACTTCACCAACATGAGCAGGTGTTGATTTTTATTGATTAAGCCAAAAATCTTTAAAAATTATTCTTGGATACAATAAAATCAAGAAAAACAGAAGTCTTTCAAAGAATTTGGAAAAAAAAAAAAGAACAAATGGTATCAAACTTGATAGTTTGGGTATTCTTCCTTTGGTAACATTCTATTAAAAAATTAAATTAGGGGAATGTTTTTTTCACAGTAGTGGAGATTTAATCCAGGGCCTTGCACACACTAGGCAAATACTCTACTACTCAACTGCCTCCTCAGACCTTTTTATTTTTTATTTTGAGACAGGTTCTCCCTAAGTTGCCCAGGCTGGCTTCAGACTTGCAATCCTCCTGCCTCAGCTTTCTGAGTAGCTGGGATTACAGGTATGCACCACTGAACCTGACCAGAACTATGTATTTTTTAAAGTATATAGAAAGATTTCTGGCTACCTTTTGGGAGATGATGTTTCTGAAAACGTGTTCACACATGTGTGCATGCTCAGACACACGGTGAAGGAGGCAGAAATGGGAGGGAAGGAGGAAGAAGAGAAAGGGAGAGTTTCAAATAAAGACCTAATTCTCCTTCAGTCAGGTTAACACTCTCTCTGACCCTGGACAAGACACATTCATCCCTACCTTTATTTTCCTTTTGTGTCTTTTCTCATTATTTTCCAAAATCATTGAATAATGAAGTTACAAGAAAATAGAATCCTTTTTAAAGTTCTTTATACACTTTATATAATTTGTAAAATAAAAATTATTTAAGTGAGAAAGAGTCCTGATGAGAATATAAAAATAGTCTCTGAAGTACAATTTAACTTATTATAATAATTTTTAAAAAGAGCTATATTAACTGAGTATTCACAATGGGTCAAGCATTTCTTACATCATCTTATTTAATTCTAGCAACGTTCTCTTACATATTATTGCTCCCATCACAGAAAGAGAAATTAAAGTTTAAAGAGACATAGATCTTAGACCAGTTCACAAAGCTCACCCAGCTATGTCCAACTAGAAAACTCAAAATCTCAACCATTGATCGACACACCCACTTTCT